AAAAAAAAAAAAAAAAGTACTACTGCTTCACCTGTGTTATTTTTTTCTTTTTTGTTGACAATATTCAAACCATAATCAGTCTAAAAATATTTCACACGTTTTACTGTACTTCAGGCAAAAATTTTTAGGTTGTTTAGAGTCTGAATATTGAAAATTGACCATGACTGCATACCCATCATTATTCAGGCCAACTGTAATCCGAATTAATATTTTTTCAGACCAATGATAATTGGTTTGAATTATCTCGGTCTAAATTTCAACAATTTCTTTCTAATAGTAAAGTATTGCATTCACAAACTACGACATAAGCTGCCAAACTAACACATTTTCGAACATAAAGCCCCTAAACTATTTTTTATCCTTACAAGCCCCTTAACGTTGGGATATAAGCAAATTAATCCTTTGTTAACGCTTTCGATACAACTCGTTTAAAAATCTGATCACGGCAGTCAAAGGAAATAGTTAAATCATAGTTTAGTGCATATACTTTTCAAATTTTAAATAAAAGTAATCCCTACACTTAACAAGCTTTATTAAAATTTTTTTAAAAAAAATATCAATCCTATTAGCAGGCATTCCAAAACCTCCACCATTTTTAAAATTTCTTCCCAACTCATCCCAAAATTAAAATGAAAAATTAAGAAGGCAAAAAAGTCAAGATATATATTTTCAACATTTTTGTTTTTTTCTAATGCGAGGAAGTATAATTTTGTATTGATCCAATTGTAAGAGGAAGAACCCATAAAACTAAAATGAAATCCATTTATAAATTAGGTAAGGACAAAATTTTAGATATGCTTTAAATCAATTTTAGTTCTTTAAGATTTCTTAATTAGGGGGCAAAAAAAAAAATTAGCTGTACTTAGCTTTTTGCAATTGTAACTCTCAATTGTTTCATTCATTTATTTAATAATTAAATTTAAAATTCCATTTATTTTTATAATTTATTAATATTTTAATTAGAGAAAAGTTATCCCATAAGTTATATTACGAGAGAGTTTAATTTAATGATTAGCTTATTAACTATTAATTAACTTAATTTTATTTTAGTCTAGAAAGTTGGTTTTTTTTAAATAGTTTATAAATTTTGTAAAATATTTCAGAATAATCTTATATACAAAATTTTTATTAGTTTTAACAGAAAAACAATAAAAAAAAGTTAAATTAAAATTAGAATAGAGTAATCCCAACCAATAAAATAATTTATGACAGACTATACAAACTATTAAAATATGTTAATAACTGTTATTTTTACTCAAAAAAATTGTTTAAAGGGGAAAATTAAAGTAACATGTGATAAAAGTTATATTTTTCAGATGGTGAAAAAGAATTTATTATTTTTACAAAATTAGTTTTATTTCAAAATTAATTCTAATAAGTAAAAATGTACAAAAAAAATATAGTTGAAAATCAATTTGATTAAACGAAATAATACTATTATTAGCAAATTAACAAATTAGATTAAACTAAAATAAAAATAAAAGATAATAAATGAGTTTAAAAAGTATTTAAAGATGATAGACAACAAAAAATATAAAAATTACTAAACTATTTATTAAATTAAATCTTTCAAGACCTACCATTAATTTTTTTTTTATATATATATAGATCTCTAAATTTTTAGAAAGAATAGGTTGAATAACAAAAATTTATTTCACTGCAGTCTTCTTTTTTTTAAAGTTGATTTTGAGATGCGTTGGAAATACGATATTGAATAAATTTATCGAGACTTGT